AAGATTCGGATTATCATAATGGAGGGAAGATATCAAGATGACGACTAAAACACATAAGTCGACGAAAATCAGACAACAACGGCAAAACTAAAATTGACAAACCACAGTCCACATTATACTTCAGAGAAAACTCAAGATTGAGCAACACAAATTCACCATAAACCGGAGTTTACTCTGTTGCTCTGGATTGGTTAAACTAACGCAGAATTTTCCATTCAAATTCTTCTGAAAATATGAATCGTTCTATAAGAAATATCAAATATTAAATACGATTATTTATGGTAGTAATGTGTATGAACGGAAGAGTTCAGTTTTGTTATACCAAGGTTTTAATGGCATTTATCGCTGGTCAACAGTGTCAAATAAAGATCGGTACTTTGCGTCTTAAGTGTTGTTTTTAGTTGTTTGTTTTGTTTTTAACGCTCTAATGAGTCAAACACTTTTCAACTGTTGTGCTGTTACGCCATTATATCAGGTGAGGGTAGGATTGGATGCCCGAAATGGTGTTTAACCCTACCACATTCTGTATGAGCCTATCCCATTTCCGGAGCCAGTAATTCAGTGCTTGTCGTTTGTTACTAAAATTGAGAATGGAAATGGGGAATGTGTCAAAGAGACAACAACCCGACCATAGAGCAGACAACAGCCGAAGGCCACCAATGGGTCTTCAATGCAGCGAGAAACTCCCGCACCCGGAGGCGGCCTTCAGCTGGCCCCTAAACAAATATGTATACTAGTTCAGTGATCATGGACGTCATAATAAACTCCAAATTATACACAAGAAACTAAAATTAAAAATGATACAAGACTAACAAATGCTAGAGGCTCCTGACTGTATATCGTATTTGTTTTTTGACTTTTGTTTTGATATGATATATCCTTGATGAGTTTATTTTCTGTAATTTTGTGTTTCTGAAATGTTGAATTATTAGACACATTAAAATATTCGGTCTCTGTTGGGTAGTTATTCCATTGAAACCGAGGCCACAGCTCCTTATTTCATATTCATTTGTTTATGTAAGTATGAATGAAAATAGTGGGTTTTTTTTAATTACAATATAGTGCAACCGCATATTGTCAGTTCCATACTGTCCAAATCAAATTACCGTACAATAAATAAATGAAAAAACACAGCAATACCAACACAAATCACAACATAAGATACAATCATTAACAAAACGTCAAATCCATGACTTAATCCTTCAGTGTAATATTAACAGCGGGAGAACAATCTTTAATCAACTTTTCATCGGAAATTGTTTCTGCTGCAATTTTGTTGTGTTTCTTGCTCCAAAGTAGAACCAATGCAATAATCTGCCAGAAAGCGTTTATTTTCACCTTTTCATCTTGATAGTAAAGGGATAATTTGTAAATAGTCAATACTGTCCAAATGAATTACCGTACAATAATGAAAAACACTGCAATACCCAGGAAAATCACAACATAAGAAACAATCATTAACAAAACGTCAAAAACATGACTTACATCTTTCCATGTAACATTAACAGCGGGAAAACAATCTTTAATCGGCTTTTCATCGGAAATTGTTTCTGCTGCAATTTTATTCTGTTTCTTGCTCAAAGGTAGACTCAATGCAATAAACTGCCAGAAAGCGTTTATTTCCACATTTTTATCTCGATAGAAAAGGGAAGACGCATAAATAGCTAATACAACAATAACACCGCTTATAACGATTGTCATTATCATCATAATTAATAAGATACACATTGGATTCGACGAGGCTGAATGGCTGCTGAAACTATGTTGAGAAAAATGGCGTACGAAAGAAGAATGGTCATAGCTAGTCCTATCCGTTCACCAGATTCCATAGGGAGAAGAAACATGAGCGGGTTCAGCAAACTAAACAAAATAGTGGGACATACAACCATTATGCTGTAACACAACGACTCACGTTTGATGGTCATTGAAAATTCTAATGTCGAATATCCATTCCAGGAAAATGTCCTAATGTCATACGATGTAAATTTCCAATTAGAATTTGGTATAAAGAATTTTTAACTAAAAGGATCAGAAGCGAAGGTAAGTATAATTTCCCTTGCTGAATAACCCCATACAAGAAACTCAAATTTACAAGTCTGAGAATTGTACGGAAATTTCGATATATCTGTGGTACATTTTGCTGACATGACACCTCCAAAAGGCAGAGACATGTTTCCGTCGTAAAAGATTAATGCAATGGTTTCAGTGAGTCCTTGAACAGGACCTAAAACATCAACGGCGTTCGCAAGAGTTATTGGAGGCGTCCATATTTTATCATTCGTTAATATAATATATTCTTTATTTCCATAAGACGTCGGATCCCATGATATTCCACCCTCGTTCCATGAGCAAATAATACCGCCTAAAATGACAATTGTTTCATCAACTTCGTCGAACTTCGATATAGTAAACAAATAAAATCCCATGGAAATCTGCAGTAATGGCATTTTTTCATCAACCTTTGGTAGGACTTCCTTTTGGTGATTGGAAAAAACATCAGAATATAATTGTTTCACATTTGGAAGAGTTTGTCCGTTTGTTCTACCCAGCGTCAAAATCGTCAAAACTATGAAAAATAGGATTGACATCATTTGATACTTATGCATTTGTAATATGCGTTTTATATATATTTTTTTAGAATAAGTATCCTTTAACAATATCAATTAAAGCAGGTGTTTATAACTTATGTCTAGTTAGGTCGTATTCGACTGAAAGACCAATTTTAAAATCAACAGTAAATATCTTTAAATGTTCATATATATAAAGGTCCATTTAGAAACAAAATGTCGATAACTGTTCTAAAAGTATAGCTGTTTAAATAATGCATCAATTATTTGTCTTTAGGTCAAGCGGAATCAATTTTTGTCAAGACAGTATTGATACAATATACATATATATGTAATCAATTTACTTTGAATTTATCGTAATAAAAGTGCTATTTTAGACTTATTTTATGGTTTTACGCAATAGTGTATATTCTCTAAAAGCCCTTACTCTTTGTTATTCCGGTATTGGGACCTCTTTCTAAAACTATCAATTTTTTTTTATTTTGTAATACTGCTTTACTTTTCTTTGGCTTTTTTCTTGCTTGTCCTGGTTGATTCTCTCCTTTCCCGGATATGTAGTTTCTGTCAACTTTTTATTAGGGCCCTGCCGAATGGTTGACGCCCTAAAGTGATCAGTCTGTCCGTCCGTCTGTCCGTTCGTCCGTAACAAATTGTGTCCACTCTATATCTAGAGAACCGTTATGATTTCAAAGGTTAATATACTTGACATGTATGTTAACCAACACAAGAGGGTGTGTCATAATGTATGTACAACCTCCTAGGTCAAAGGTCAATGTCAAAAACTTTGGTTTCAGTTGACAACCCCATGTCCTATGGTGAAGATCGTGTCCGCACTATATCTTGGGAACCGGTATGATTTCAAAGTTTATACTTGACATGTATATTAACCAACACCAGAGGGTGTGTCAAAATGAATGTACAACTTCCTAGGTCAAAGGTCAATGTCAAAAACTTTGGTTTCAGTTGACAACCCCGAGTCCTATGGTAAAGATCGTGTCCGCTCTATACCTTGAGAACCGTTATGATTTGAAAGTTTATACTTGACATGTATATTAACCAACACCAGAGAGTGTGTCATAATGTATGTAAAACTTCCTAGGTCAAAGGTCGAGGTCAAAAACTTTGGTTTCAGTTGACAACCCCATGTCCTATGGTAACGATCGTGTCCGCTCAATATCTTGAGAACCGGTATGATTTCAAAGTTTATACTTGACATGTATATTGACGAACACCAGAGGGTGTGTCATAATGTATGAACAACTTCCTAGGTCAAAGGTCGAGGTCAAAAACTTTGGTTTCAGTTGCCAACCCCATGTCCTATGGTAAAGATCGTGTCCGCACTATATCTTGAGAACCGGTATGATTTGAAAGTTTATACTTGACATGTATATAAACCAACACCAGAGGGTGTGTCATAATGTATGTAGAACTTCCTAGGTCAAAGGTCAAAGGTCAAAAACTTTGGTTTCAGTTGACAATACCATGTCCTATGGTAAAGATCGTGTCCGCTCTATATCTTGAGAACCGTTATGATTTGAAAGATTATGCTTGACATGTATATAAACCAACACCAGAGGGTGTGTCATAATGTATGAACAACTTCCTAGGTCAAATGTCGAGGTCAAAAACTTTGGTTTCAGTTGACAACCCAATGTCCTATGGTAAAGATCGTGTCCGCACTATATCTTGAGAACCGGTATGATTTCAAAGTTTATACTTGACATGTATATTAACCAACACCAGATGGTGTGTCATAATGTATGTACAACTTCCTAGATCAAAAGTCAATGTCAAAAACTTTGGTTTCAGTTGACGACCCCATGTCCTATGGTAATAATCGTGTCCGCTATATACCTTGAGAACCGTTAAGATTTCAAAGTTTATACTTGACATGTATATTAATCAACACCAGAGGGTGTGTCATAATGTATGTATAACTTCCTGGGTCAAAGGTCAAGGTCAAAAACTTTGGTTTCAGTTGGCAACCCCATGTCCTATGGTAAAGATCGTGTCCGCTCTATATCTTGTGAACTGTTATGATTTCAAAGTTAATACTTGACATGTATATTAACCAACACCAGAGGGTGTGTCATAATGTATGTATAACTTCCTGGGTCAAAGGTCAAGGTCAAAAACTTTGATTTCAGTTGACAATCCCATGTCCTATGGTAAAGATCGTGTCCGCACTATATCTTGAGAACCGGTATGATTTGAAAGTTTATACTTGACATGTATATAAACCAACACCAGAGGGTGTGTCATAATGTATGAACAACTTCCTAGGTCAAAGGTCGAGGTCAAAAACTTTGGTTTCAGTTGACAACCCCATGTCCTATGGTAAAGATCGTGTCCGCACTATATCTTGAGAACGGGTATGATTTGAAAGTTTATACTTGACATGTATATTAACGAACACCAGAGGGTGTGTCATAATGTATGTAGAACTTCCTAGGTCAAAGGTCAATGTCAAAAACTTTGGTTTCAGTTGACAACCCAATGTCCTATGGTAAAGATCGTGTCCGCTCTATATCTTGAGAACCAGTATGATTTGAAAGTTTATACTTGACATGTATATTAACCAACACCAGATGGTGTGTCATAATGTATGTACAACTTCCTAGATCAAAGGTCAATGTCAAAAACTTTGGTTTCAGTTGACGACCCCATGTCCTATGGTAATAATCGTGTCCGCTCTATACCTTGAGAACCGTTAAGATTTCAAAGTTTATACTTGACATGTATATTAATCAACACCAGAGGGTGTGTCATAATGTATGTATAACTTCCTGGGTCAAAGGTCAAGGTCAAAAACTTTGGTTTCAGTTGGCAACCCCATGTCCTATGGTAAAGATCGTGTCCGCTCTATATCTTGTGAACCGTTATCATTTCAAAGTTTATACTTGACATGTATATTAACCAACACCAGAGGGTGTGTCATAATGTATGTACAACTTCCTAGGTCAAAAGTCAAGGTCAAAAATTTGGTTTCAGTTGACAAGCCCATGTCCTATGATCTTGAGAACCGATATGATTTCAAAGTTTATAATTGACATGTATATAAACCAATAAACCAACACAAGAGGGTGTGTCATAATGTATGTATAACTTCCTGGGTGAAATGTCAAGGTCAAAAACTTTGGTTTCAGTTGACAACCCCATGTCCTATGGTAAAGATCGTGTCCGCTCTATATCTTGTGAACCGTTATGATTTCAAGGTTTATACTTGACATGTATATTAACCAACACTAGAGGGTGTGTCATAATGTATGTACAACTTCTTAGGTCAAAGGTCAAAATCAAAAACTTTGGTTTCAGTTGACAATACCATGTCCTATGGTAAAGATCGTGTCCGCTCTATATCTTGAGAACCGTTATGATTTGAAAGATTATGCTTGACATGTATATAAACCAACACCAGAGGGTGTGTCATAATGTATGTACAACTTCCTAGGTCAAAGGTCAAGGTCAAAAACTTTGATTTCAGTTGACAACCCCATGTCCTATGGTAAAGATCGTGGCCGCTCTATATCTTGAGAACCGTTATGATTTGAAAGTTTATACTTGACATGTATATAAACCAACACCAGAGGGTGTGTCATAATTTATGTACAACTTCCTAGGTCAAAGGTCAAGGTAAAAAACATTTGGTTTCAGTTGACAACCCCATGTCCTATGGTAGAGATACAAATTTTTTACCACACATTATTCACAGCGGGGCCCACAGAGATGGCTCCCATCTCAATGATATCTAGTTCCTTTAGTCAAACTTATATTTTGAATAACTTTATTTTACTTCCAAATTTTTATCAGTTTACATTATACTTTTGAAATTAGCATTTTAAAAGAAATGTATTTTGGGTTCATCCGAAATGTTTTCATGAAGGTCTAAGAAATAGCCAAACCACTACGGCATCCATTACTTATCGTCATAATTACTGGTATTTAAAAGCTTTTATTTATGATGAATTTAAACTTTCAATAAGATAATTTAATGTCAAAAACTTTGGTTTAAGTTGACAACCCCATGTCCTATGGTAAAGATCGTGTCCGCGCTATACCTTGAGAACCGTTATGATTTCACAGTTTATACTTGAAATGTATATAAACCAACCCCAAAGGGTGTGTCATAATTTATGAACAACTTCCTAGGTCATAGGTCAAGGTCAAAAACTTTGATTTCAGTTGACAACCCCATGTCCTATGATTTAGAGAACCGTTATGAAAAAGAGAAAAGATCTTTTCTTAGACTTTCCTTTGTCAACAAAGGTCTCGATGGCGTCAATTTAGGCATTATCTTTCTTCATAAATTAGTTCAGTTGAAAATACCTCCTTATTTTTAAGATCAGTCTGTACCAATAATTTCTTATACCTATACCAAACCAATTGCAACTAAAATTTTCAATTACAAACACGTTTTCCAGGATCTCAATATTGACTACTTCAAGTCTAAACCTCCTGATTGCACCTGTGCTAGTTCCCAATTCACATATTATCCGGCTAGCCACGTTATTACCGGAGACCTCAGCATTGTCAATAACACTTCCCTGCGAAATGTGTTATCCAAAGGTCCGAAATATCGTGAGCCTAAAACAATAAATTGGAAATACAACTTCAAAATACTGATGGATTCGGTCGAGGATTATGCCAAGCAATGGGCTAAACGCGAGAAAGAAGACGTAGATACTCTTTCCGAATGGATTAAGGCTGTGAAGTCGTTGATACAAATCAGAATTAAGAAACTAAATGGGTCTATCAATACCCATGCTACGTCAATCTTTAAAGACCCAAATGTTGCAAAACACTTGTCCTACCTCCATGACAAATATGTTGTTGTCCTCGCAGATAAAGCCCCAAACAACATCGTTTTTGTGTGTAAATCTCATTACATAAACTGCATGATAAATGAATTAGGTATTGACAATTCACTTGGAAACTCAACATATACCCTCACGACACTAACCAAAGAGGAAATCCTGGATAATTATAGGTCTGTTCTATGTTCCTTTGGAATTTCAACCAAAGATGAAGAACTGGATCTTCCATCGCTGTATTGGATACCTAAACTACATAAGTGTCCTTACAAACAGCGGTATATTGCTGGGTCTTCCAAGTGCTCCACGAAACCTCTTTCTAAATTATTAACATCTATTTTATCAGCAATCAAAGCCGGGCTTCAAAGTTATTGTGAAACTGCCTATTCTAGAGGTGGCGTGAATCAGATGGTGATACTAAAAAATTCCAAAGATCTTTTAGAGTACATATAATCAAAGACTCTCTCATCTTGTAATAGTATTAAAACATTTGACTTTTCTACACTTTACACAAGTATTCCCCATTCCAAACTAAAAGACAAATTGAAAGAGTTGGTATTGCTTCGTTTCATAAAAAAGAATGGCGAACGTAGATACAAGTATCTTGTCTTGGGGAGGGATAAATCTTACTTTGTAAAGAATCACTCTGATTCAAACAAAACATTCTCTGAAATTGACATTATCAAGATGCTTGATTTCTTGATTGACAACATATTTGTTACGTTTTGAGGACGTGTTTTGCAACAGACTGTCGGCATTCCAATGGGAACCAATTGTGCCCCTCTTCTTGCCGACTTGTTTCTTTATTATTATGAGGCTGATTTCATACAGGAACTTCTTATGAAGAAAGATAAGAAGTTAGCAATATCCTTTAACTTTACTTTCCGCTATATAGATGATGTTCTCTCACTAAATAATTCAACATTTTGTGACTATGTTGAACGCATCTATCCCATCGAACTAGAGATAAAGGATACACCAGATACAGTTAAGTCTGCCTCATATCTTGACTTACATCTAGAAATTGACAATAAGGGTCAGTTGAAAACAAAACTTTACGACAAAAAAGATGATTTCAGCTTTCCAATTGTGAACTTTCCATTTCTATGTAGCAACATTCCAGCAGCGCCTGCATACGGAGTATATATCTCCCAATTGATACGATATTCCCGGACTTGTATTTCCTATCATGATTTCCTTGATAGAGGGTTGCTGCTCACAAGGAAACTATTAAACCAAGAGTTCCAAATGGTGAAGTTGAAATCATCCCTTCGTAAATTTTACGTACGCCATCACGAGTTGGTTGACCGTTATGGAATAACCGTTTCACAGATGATATCGGATATGTTCCTTATGTCGTTATTACAATCCCTTCCTTTTTCACCACGAATGTGACCTACCGAATTAGACTATTTCCCGGATTTTTAATAACATGAGCAACACGACGGGTGCCACATGTGGAGCAGGATCTGCTTACCCTTCCGGCGCACCTGAGATCACCCCAAGTTTTTGGTTGGGTTCTTGTTGCTTAGTCTTTAGTTTTCTATGTTGTGTATTGTGTAAAAAGTAAAATCACAAAAATACTGAACGAGGGAAATTCAAAAAGAAAAGTCCCCAATCAAACGGCAAAATCAATAAACAAACACATCAAACGAATGGATAACAACTGTCATATTCCTGACTTGGTACAGGCATTTTCTTATGTAGAAAATGGTGGATTGAACCTGGTTTTATAGCTAGCTAAACCTCTCACTTGTATGACAGTCGCATCAAATTCCATTATATTGACAACGATGTGTGAACAAAACAAACAGACACAATAGGTAAAAATGTCAAAAATAGGGGTACAGCAGTCAACACTGTGTTATCATCTTAATCACTATAAAAACAAACAAATGTAACGAAGAAGCACAAAAAGGCATACATCAAATTTAACATCATCATTTTGCTTATATTAAACGATTTTATTTATCTATGTAAAATCCACCCATAATGGATGGAAGGTTTTAAGTACTGGCGTAAAATCGCGCGTTTGAAATTCGCACAGGTAGACATAAAATAATTTTGTCGTTCAAAGTATGAGGGGATACATAAATACAGAGTCACGTAAAATGGATATAACAAAAAACAGACTTAATTAACAGTAAAAGTAATATTAATTAATAAAATAAAATAATTGTGTGGTACAAAATATGACGATATACATAAGTACAGAGTCACGTCAAATGTATATTACAAAAAACAGACTCAACAGTAAAAGTAATATTAATAAATAAAATAATTTTGTCGTTCAAAGTATGACGGGATACATAAGCACTGTGTACTATTATTTGTCTGTTCGTCTTTTTATTGTTTAGCCATGGCGTTGTCAGTTTATTTTCGATCTATGAGTTTGACTGTCCCTCTGGAATCTTTCGTCCCTCTTTTAGTACTTCCACAGTTTCATTCAAAAATTAAGCCGATGTTTTATTCTTTCTTTTAAAAAATTAAAGAAATGGGAAACGATGATTCCAATGAATTTAATAGATGTAATTCTATTTATGAAAAAAACATTTATCAATTGAATAAAATGAAGAAAGACACGCTGAGAAAGATTTCTTACGTGCTAGTTCAAAAGGTTCAGTTCGCAGGAAGATATGTCACCCTTATTCTGACTCCGAACCGACTAGTCTATGATCTTATATGTTAAATACCGCACCAAATTTTAATTTTACCATCTTTGGTTTGAACCGGCCGGTGTCAAACCCAAGAACTCCAGCAATCGATACAAACACGCTACCACGAGACCACAGAAGCGATGTGCAACCGAGGAAACTTTAAACAGTAACATATTTTGAATTTATATACAAGTATCTATTTAAAAGAAAATGAATAATCATACCTTTAGAACGTGATTAATTGCCCGTCCGTAGTACCTGAGATCATCCCTATTTTTCGTTTAATTCATGTAGCTCAGTTTTTAGTTTTTTAATGTAGTGTTTTGTAGACTTTCATCAATCTGTTTGTTGCTTTTCGTTTTATACCATGAAGTAGTCGGTCACTTCGAATTATGATTTTTGATTCTCCCTTTGATATCATCTGCTGTTGTCTAAAAAGGTCAAGATGGTAACAAGAGCTGACCTTAGCGGAACTCTTAAATGAACTATGTATATTATTGAGAACAATCAAAGTTAGTTTCCCGTAAAGTTCATATCTTTTCAAAGGGTTTCTTTTCTTTTCTCTAATTGCACAATACGGACATTTGATCTTTGAGGATGAATAGTCTCATGGACAAATAAAGAAGCAAAAAAAAAAAACTTCTCGTATAAGTTTAGCCCCAGAAATCGAGAAATGTAAACTCCGAGAAAATAACCAATTTACAGAAAATCAATGGACTAAATTAATCAGA